GATATGGCCCTCTCAACATTTTGGAAGGCAGCACTAGGTGCCAAAAACAAAGAGAGGGACATATCAAGCATGGCCACACAAGCACAAAGAGAGATGTATATACAACCACCTCCATTTTCTCTTGTTTTTAGAGTAAGAAATTAGAATATAGCTCTCACAATGAGTAACCCTTTATGTTGGAGTTCCCTTAAATTTTGTTTTATTATATGTCCTTTGGAATTGTGGAAAAAGTTTAAATAAGAACCCATTCAAACTTGCTTTCTTCCAAAAAAAAAAAAATCATGTTAGATATGGTTTAGGATCTGAAATACATTTCAAGTCACTCTAAATGTGCTTCTGCTTTCAGTAGCGGGAGTACTTTTAGGACCTCAAATTATTAGAATGCAACCTTCTCAACCTAGTGATCAACTTCAAGAAAAGAGAAGGAAGTATAAGGTATAAGGAAAGGTTTCTATGCCTCCTCTACATCGTAGAAGATCTATGCTTCCCTTACCATCCAGCCGTCCAATTTTGATCAAGTGAGCCACTCACTTTATGATCCTAGATCCGATGCCTCTTAGTATTTTAATTTTAATTTTTTAATACAAATTGTATGAATATGAAATTTGGTATGTGCCATCTTGTCATTGGATCGCACCTATAAAAAATATTAAAAATAATTTTTCTATAGAATATAATGACAAAAATATCCCTTGAAACTTTAAAAGGTATTTTGGTTATTTTATTTTATTGAGATTATTTGTTTTATATTTTTTACAAGTGCGAGGTTAATAGAGGATTGGACGCCCAAAATTTTGTATCAAAATATTTTATATTAAAAATATTAAAAATAAAGTACTGTAGAGACGTGACATTGTGATTTGGGCAATCTTAGCCCTCCATTCAAAATGGACAGTTGGATAGAGGGAAGCATATAAGTTCTATGTTGTAGGGGAAGCATAGAACGCTTGTGGTATATGCTTGAAAAAAAGTGTCCCAAGATCAAATATGGACAACCCAATTTTTGGACAGTCGTATCTAAGCTTTTAAAAACTTAAAATCATTCTTTTTTGTGATACTACTCATACGGTGATTAAAGTGACCCGAAAATTGGACGTCAGAATATCAAAGTAGCCCTTTCACACCATAGAGCGAATGGACAGTGTGCTTCCACGGGAGCACACCATTTGCGTCTCCCTCCAAGTGCCCTCAGGTAGCACTTCTTATTCGAAAGGCAATTTAATGGATGAGCAGTGTACTATGCTCCTTTACGAGCATAGTTTCCTTCTACTCCCACGGTAAGATGATCCACTTTGAGAGGATTTTTCTGAAATTTTGGGAACAACTTAAAAATCATTAGATAACTATTTTCAAAGAAAAAAATTTGAAATTTGAGTTTTCTAATACTTAAGGCGCACCCACAAATTTTATCATAACATGTATATTTTGTGTAAAATATCCAGAGAATTATCTCAAAACCTATTTTCATATCTAATAATAAAATTTAAAAATGATTAAAATCAAGCAAATCTATAAACATATGAAAATCTTGAAAATAGACTGTCTAAATCATGTGGTGCAAAATGCACTATTTATGGGATTCAAAACTCTTTTTTTCTCATATTCATACATCTCGACATCGATCTCGATGTCGAGATGATCAATTAGAAGGGTTTTCAACATCAAAACAACTTTTTCCAATGGAAATTCATCATTAAGGTTGTAACCTTGTATAAACTTTTTCCTTTTCTTTTTTAAAAAAATTGAGGGGTCATTTGGGTCCGTGAAAATATATTATTCTTCGCCCTAATAGGGAATGGTTAATGGTTTTGAGACAAGATTGAGAAAGGGAGAACTGTTGATGGCTTCGTTTTGGAGGGATAAAGGAATGGCTCTTTCCTTTTCTTCCTTTTTGCTTTCTTCTTCTTTTTTCTTTTTTCTTTTTTTTTTTTTTTTTTTTTTTGAGAGACAGCATCTAATGGATTATCCATTCACACGCCTATTGAATTTCTTAGCTATCCCCACATACAATGGATTTTAATCTATTTCTTTGTAATAAATTTTCAAGGTATCCAAATGGCTCGATTGTTAAAGAGGTTTATCCCCAGAACTTGGGGTCCTAAAATTAATCCTGAGTCAGGTTTTATTCGACAAAGTAAATAAACAGTATATTCTTGAGGGAGTGGAATATTTTTGGCTTAATGGACAATAAACAGTATACCTTTCAAATTTCCAAAAATCAAGAAAGAAGCGCCTCTCCCTCTCTTTGGAGGGCCTAAGAAGGAATTAAAGTGTGGCTCGAGTTGATGCCCCCTTGCACTTCATCGTTCTCTAGTTTCATCCATGCCCTTTGAAAAAGCTTCTTCAAAGTTATCAAGAGCATGGGAGGATCTACCGGAGAAAAGAAAGACCAACCATTACAAACTTGTGATTATGGAAGCAGGGACCCAAGTAGGGGTGCAAATCAGGTCGAGTTGACCTGGTGCCTTTCTGGACCGGGTAGGTCAGCTTGGGGTCCAACAAACTTGGACCAAGCAGGTCGAGGTCCAGGTCCAATTACAGCCCATGCCTATTGAAAACAGGTCAGATCTCAAGTCCCAGCCTGGTCTGGACAACCCAAACCCCGACAGGTTTGCACCCTTAGTTCCAAGGCTCCTCCAGGAAAAAATCTTTCCTATGCAAAGAGATGTCCGACACTCCTTGCACATGTAAGGAGGTTGATGCCAACAGTGATCAAATCCTCATTTTTCATGCAGTCTGAGTGAGGTAATGTACATCAAATACTTAACACTAATTTTTGTTTTATCTATACGGTTGATGTTATTCTAAAGACGATCGTCATCATCGTCAAAGCTTTTTTTCACCTAATTGAAGTCGATTATACGAATCCTGATTCACCATTCTGCTCTATATTATTCTAAAGATAAAATGAAACTTCATATCAACAAAACCGTGAACTCAAGTACACAACAAAACCGCAAACTTCTAGTAAATAAGTAGCCATCTCTTGTCACGTGCAAAATCAAATAATACCGTGATTGTATACGATAAGACCATATACATTTGGTGCAGAAAGGTCACAAAGACCTAAAGTCGTTCGATGAGAAATCTGAGGGGCTTAGGGTGTCACAAAAATTTGAGAAATTTTATTTTGAAACTTTGAGCCCAATCAAAAGTACACCCCTAAGCTGCTCGATTTTGCATCAGGTTATTGTGACTTCTTTATACCAAAAATAAATCGTCTTGTCATATATATGTTATGAAAAAAATATCTGAATTCTTCCATTATAACAAGTAAATAGGCACTCAAACACACCTCATATGACTCTTTCAATATTGCCTATTTATGAATTCTGACAAGCATACACACCAAGAGAGAAGGTGTCATAATTTTTCATGACAAATAAAGATTTATAAAATATATTTGTGTGACACAATATGGTGGAACATTTAAAAAAAAAAAATGATACAATATGGTGGCTGACCAGATGGAGCTCCACCCCAAATTTGTTAAAGGTGTAGTAGAACACTGCTCACTGTTGGATTAATGGGCTGGGTGATATGATCTGTCCACCATGTTGAGCTGTTAACTAATGACAGTGCATGCAGATGGTGCAAGATCATCTTCCACACTGATCTAATGGTGGACAGGGTGACAATAAAACAGTGGAGTGGCATCCATGGACCTTATATACTCCATAGAATTACATTTTAAAACATGGATCATAGGTCAAACAAGAGAGAAGCTTGGTCCAGTCCAATCTAGTTCACTGCAACTCATGTGGGTGAACATGTGAAATCACTTCGAATGTACTATAAAATATTTCAGAAATTTGAGTTTAGGGAAAAAATAAAACATAAGAGGTTTTTAGCATTAATAATAATAACAAAAGTAGTAGCAGCTGTAGTAGTAATAGAAATACTTGTATTATTTCATGTATTAGTACTTTTGTCGAGATATAATCAAAAGGTATTGTTCATTAACAATATAAAATTAAATAAATAAATATAGAGAAATAGAAATACCTTATACAAGGGAACTTTCAGAATTGGGACAAATTTTGACCAATATAAGGAGGCTACAGCACACTAAATGCCAAAAAACTACATCATAATGAGAAACCACATGTGGGTAATATCAATAGCACCATAATATTTATATCAAAAAGAATTCGGAGGCAAATGCATCATCCTATGGCAGTGTCCAAATTTAACTTGGGTCAGACACGTGGGTCATTAAATTCCTAGCCTAGGTTATAAAATAGTTATCCATTAACCATTACATTAGCAAAAAAAATTAAAGACTTAGTGTACATGCCCAGCCGACATGTATAAAACTAGAAGTTCATTCAATCTAAAGATGAAAAATATAAGCAAGCAAAATGATTTCATTTAGATCCCATCCACATAAAATAAAGGGAAATTCAGAGATGCACCATTTAACGTTGTACACATTTGCTACTATTCCAACTCATAGACGTGCTTTTTTATGGGTACCTTGAAATTAAATCAAAGTATACGAGTAAAATGTTAAATAGATCATATCTATTAGGTATTTTGGATAAATTTCCCTGCGGCTAGCCCGCATATTGTAGAAATGCGGGCTTGGCAATAAATATATTTTTAAATATAATTTGATCCTAATTTTTTAAAAATATATAATCTTTAATATGGAGATCATGAATATGAAAAAATTAAAATTAAACATAAAAAATTGAAAACTATAAATAATAATTTTATTAAGAAAACATTTGGACCATTAGTTACACTTGTTTTTAGATGGACCACCTATTTGCATCCATTTTTGAGATGGATGCTTTATACCTCTGGACTGCATATTGTAGAAATGCGGTCCAGCCCGAATGAAACAATTTTCCAATAAATAAACAAACAAACAAGATTTACAAATTGACAATTAACTATAAGCAGACAAGTAAAAATACAAGTTTGTTTCATATGATATGACAAATATAACCAAGCAAAGCAATTGATCTGTATGCCATCCACATTAACTGAAAAGATGAAGGGAAAAAAACAATTCATAAACTCACAACCATCTATGACTAGACCGAGCACAGCTAGCAAGGTCGATAGAAAATCACAAGTACAACCAGTGTTCCATCCCTTCACAGGGCCACAGGTCCATAATGTAGCCAAATTCAAATTAAATTACAAGAAACATGTCCATAATGTAAAAAATATTATCCTACTTAGTGTTCCTCATCATCATCATCATTGTTTTTCCATGTTGCTCCACCATGTAACCTAAAATAATATTTTAAAATTATCTTCTTCTATTTGCCATAATGGAGTCGCTGTATATATTACCTCACCTCCTTCAAATTTTTAGACAAATACACATATCAATCCTCCTCATCTCCTGTAGTCTTCAGCAGCTGGTTCATATCATTCAATCCTTTATTGCTTCCACTCCTACAAGTAAAGGACTTCTGCTCTCCAGTACACACCCTTCTAAACAGCTCTTGGGACTTCAATATCTTCACTTCGCAATACAAAAGAGCACCAAATAGTGAAGAAACAATAAAATGATGTTCAAAGGACACGTTAATGATCAATTAATAACCTAAATCTTAAAGACAATCAGAAACATAAAAGGAATTAGTGAAATATGTTTAATTGCCTTGTGTCGAGCATAAGTTACAATGGACATGTACATGGTTATTAAGCATGTTGTCCCTAACTTATCGAACCTTTTAAAATGTATACATTCAGAGCCCTGCCAGGCACACATTCAGGTGCACGACATGTCTGGCTAAGGATCCAAATAGCTATAGATGTAAACTTTGAAGCACTACTTTCAAAGTTTCTCCAGCAGTAAAAATGCCAGAAAAAGGTTCAAAGCTAGTACAAGTTATGAATCATATATCAAAGGGTGCAGTTGGCATACGGATGCATCCGTAGCTGTGTAGAGGTAAGGTAAGCTTCAAACCTTCAAATTTTGTCATGGTATATAATTTTGATGTAAAATGTTCTTAGGATTATCTCAAAATCTATTTTTATATCTAATTATAAAATTTTAGATTTCAAAAATGGTTAAAATCAAGTAGATCTATAAACATATGAAAATCTTGAAAATAGACGGTGTAGA